GCAGTGCGTATGCTGGGGCTGAGCATCCTGTGACAGAACTAGGAGATGACCTAGTTAGGCCAGAAGCGGGAATAATGTCGACTAAGCACCCCTCCAATGGTTACCCTTCGGAGCATTTCATTCTTTGAGGGATCTAAGACAGCTCCCATCTTGCATTCTCTCTCTCTTTCCCTGTTTCCTTTGTCTTTTATTTTCGCCTTCTTTTTCTTTGGGGGGGGAGCCGTGGGCTGCTTTCGCTATTTCTATGCTTGTGAATCTTTGCATGTCTATCAATTTGAGGGACATTCACAGTGTCGCTCAGGGCGTACTCAGATACGAAGTTTCCAAATAAATCTGGCCGTGGATACGATCAGGGACATCAGAAAGCCCTAGATAACCTGGACGTAACCAAGGTTCCGTGCATCCACTAGTGGGCCTGGTGCAAGTATGCCCTCTAGTCTTACACATGTCTAATCCAACAAAACCAAGAGATAGACGTGTAAATAGCCGGAAGCGATATCCAATAAGTAGAGACACTCACCATTACCATAGTCTGCACATTTAGCTTAGGGGTCCTTTGGTCTGCACAGGGGTGCTTTGGTCCAGGGTTGAGATGCTTTATTTTAGTAGGGCGGGCTCAGAGGGGTTTCTAATCCAGGCTCCACATGTTTAAAGAGTCGTACATATGAGAGGTCAGTCGACATAGCCAAACAGAGTAACAGCGTTGTAAAAAAGAGGTAGGGAGAGAAGGAGAGAGAGAGAGGGAGGGAGGGAGACGGGGAGAAAGAGAGCCACGAAGGGAGAGGGAGAAAGAGAGAGGGAGGGAGACAGGGAGAGAAACAGGGAGAGAGGGGGCCAGAGGGAGGGAGAGAGAGAGAGAGAGAGAGAGAGAGAGAGAGAGAGAGAGAGAGAGAGAGAGAGAGAGAGAGGGACTCTACCGCCAGTCACAGCTCACCTCCGACTTTGACGTCTCACTGATTTTCGGTGCACAAGGTGAGATGAACCCTCGACCGTCAGTCTGAACTTGACATCTCAGTTCAGACACTCACCGGCCACCGCATAACGACCTACTCATCCAGGCCGCAGGCGCCCTCTCTCTCTCTCTCTCTCTCTCTCTCTCTCTCTCTCTCTCTCTCTCTCTCTCTCTCTCTCTCTCTCTCTCTCTCATCTTGGCATGGGAGCGATAACAAGAAGACGAGAAAATCGAGGATGCCAAGGAGAAAGAAGCAGCAGCAACATGTCCATCTTGGGTCAACTGTCTTGCGTACGCGCTCCACAGAATGTCCATTACAAATCCGCGCATACATGTCTCATAGAAAGAAGAAGAAGAGGACAAACGAAGGAGGAAGAGGAGGAGGGGGAGGAGAAGGAGGGGAAGGGACAGGAGAAGAGGGGAAGAAAGTGGCGAAAGAGCTTACTGTTGAAAAATCGAGTCTTCTTTCCCATGTCTTGATAACTGTCTTCGCACTTCCATCGACTGCCTCGTTTAATGCCCGCACCTGCTTTGCAGAACACGACAAGTGAACACGTTCTCATAAAAAAGGACAAAACGACAAAACTACAGGCAGTGCTCGGTGGCAAACTTTCCAAAATACGGAAGTGCTTAAAGCCCTCATTCCCTCAGCATACCAGACGGTTGTTCGGATAAAGAAACCAATCAGCAATTTGAAAGGCGAAAGAAAGAGGGGGAAAAGAGATGGGGGTAAGGGTAAGAGGGGGAGAGAGAGAGAAAGAGAGAGAGGGAGACAGAGAGAGGAAGAGAGAGAGAGAGAGAGGGAATAGGAAATGGGAGCTCATTCCCTCTCCCTCTCTCCCTCTCCCTTCTGCAAAAGAAGAAAGGACAAAGTTTAAGGACAGACAAACGTTGCGGACAAAAAAAGAGCGAAGCAGAGCGAAGGGGAGGCGGAAAAGTCTGATAGCCATTTAATTAACATAGCATCGTTCTGTTTCTTGGGATCCAATATCCCCAATCCCCCCTGTTCGCGTGGCAAGCAAAGCATCTCCCATGCAACCTTGGAGAGGAAAGAAGCATTTTCCTCTCCATAGGGTTTCCACAAAAACTTTGCGGCTCTTCTCCTTGACATGGAGCACAGTTGTTTCCCGAGTGCTCGTACCGTCCCGACATACCACAGTAAGGCAAATAGAGCCCCATTGATTACCATTCCCCTACCAAACAAGGATAGGTGGGGGGCTTTTCCCCACGAACTCAGCCTCTGTAGCGTTTTCTGCAACAACAAATCGTCCTGGTGAGCATCACAAGCTAACAGGGAGATCTGCACCCCCAGGAACCTTTCAGGTTGATTGGCATCAATCCTGCGCATTCCCCATTGGACAACCATCGCGAAGGAGGCAGGAAGAAAGAATACGGACTTATGCCAGTTCACAGAGGCTTCTGATAGGGCTGAATATTCATCCAAACAGAGCTTAAGAGCATTCAGAGAGATTGGGTCGTTCTTTGTTACTGCGAAAAGGTCATCAGCTAGAGCCTCAACTTTATACACAGTAGTAGTAATCGGGAAGCCCATAATCAACGGATTGGATCTGATATTGTTTAACAGAACATCCATTTGGATGACGAAGAGAAGGGGAGCCAATGGGCAACCCTGTCTCGAAGAACGGGTTAAGAAGAGTTCCTCAGAGACCCGCCCATTAACCATCACAGCAGCCAAAGACATGGAGTACATTGCAGTGACCCAGGTAGAGAAAGATTGGCCAAATCCCATGACCTTTAGAGTGGTGAGCACATAAGACCAGTTGACCCGGTCGTAGGCTTTTTCCAGGTCAAGCAAAAGGACTGCATAATTTAAATCTTCATTGTTGATAATTTCCAAGGTTTCTACTGCTGTTACGATGTTTGTGAAAATCGACCGACCCTTGATGAACGCCGCTTGATCAGGATGGACCAGGTCTGGAAGATAGCGACTCAGTCTTCTTGCCAGGACTTTCGAAAGGAGCTTATAGGAAACATTCAATACAGAAATGGGTCTCCAATTACGAATTTCGGCACGGTCACCTTTCTTAAACAGCAACGAGATTATTCCTCTACGCATACTCTCAGATAAGGACGCACCTAATAGGATATCATTGTAGATGTCCACTAGAGCTGGTCCCACCTCTTCCCATTTCGCCAGATAGAGTTCTACTGGTAAGCCGTCATCTCCAGGGGCTTTGCCCTTGGACATTGCTCTCAGAGCTTCCAGTGCCTCAGAGACTGTGATTGATCTATCCAAGTCTAAACGAGCAGAAGTGGGTAACCGAGCAGAGGTATTTGACCAATGAGAAGATCCCAAGTGCAGGTTCGAATCGATATTGGCGCCCTGTAAACGAGACGTCAAGATATCTTGGTAATATTGCATAGCATAGTTACCTAACAGAATTGGGTCATTCGCTTTGGGAGCACTGTTATCGAAAGGGTGATAGAGCTCTCTCATCGGAACCAATGACCTTCTGGGTAAGAGTCTTTGGAAGGACTCTTTCGTCATACGGTCATATACACTGTTATACAGTAATACCTTTCGTTTGCAATCTCTCAGACCAGAGAATGGATCGTTATGGCTGAGTACATTCTAGCCAAAGAATGGAACCTTCGTCGTCCTTCTGATGTTTGGTTATGTCTGTTCATTGCGTCCTTCCAACGCCGTTACATCAGATCCCCCTTTTGGAAAGCTATTGTGCAGGCTTGGAAAGTGCTGAAACCTGACGTGTGGGTGGAGCCGATTACAAAGGAAGAGGTCCTATGCCAAATTTTGTTCGAAAATCCTCACATCAGAAACAGGTCAGGGGATTGGATTAGCGCAGACACGTCTCCAGGCAGCTTCGGCCGAACCTGGATTGAGAAAGGGGTTTTGAAAATCTCCGATCTCTGTGATGACTTGTATGGGAACTGGATCTCAGACAGCAACCTGCGAATGAAACTGGGTACTAGCAGAAACATTGGCCAAAAGAAGAATATACTTATCGAATCGATCCCACAGTCTTGGAAAGATCTGCTGTTTTCTATTGAAACTGCTCCACAAGGCACTTGGTTCAAAGAAGAGCTGCAAGAGAACCAAGTGTGGAAGCTAATAGATATTCAAGCAGATGGGAAACAAACCTTTCAAACCTGGTCTGTGATTGGCCCCCAATTGCAATTAAATGAATCACAATCTCAGCCTCAGTTAGACTCGTGTCTATTGCAAATTCGAGTCTCTGAGTCTGTAAATGAGGACGGTTCATGGACTAGTTCACTGCTGACAGATGGCATGGCTGTTCGAGATTACAAACTGGACCCCAAGATGTGGGAGTGGCGTGCAACTGGTCATGATGGTCAAAACCTGTGCTTGCTGGACTATTCCCAGAAAGTTGGTTACAAACTAATCCTACCGTCAGTGGCAGTAACAAGATGGGGGACTGTACTTCAGATCGGTGAACAGCATTTGATCCGATGCATCAAGAAATGTTGGTCCCAATTGATTCTCATTACAAGCCAAAGGTGGGCAGCCTTACTGTGGCTTCTTTCGCTTTTGGCTACTCCTTCTGCAGTGTGGCTGACAGAACACGGCATGAATGTGGACCTTACCTGTTCCCGATGCAAATGGGCTGTTGAATCTACAGTCCATTTGTGGTGGGACTGCCCGGCAGTAGCTCGAATTTGGCGGTGGTGGAGCAAGAAATGGGATCGGATTTCTGACACGGTCTTTCCTTGGGACAAAACATAGTGCTTATTAGGCGGCATTCCAGACAGCCTCTCATGTGCCAAAGGATGGGGGTATATAGCCCAAGCAATCAGAGCAGTTCTCTGCAATGCCATTTGGCAGTCTCGAAATGATATGGTATTCAATGACAAAGAGTGGGCAGACAAGCACCTACGGGCGTCCATACTTCATAATATCAGACTTACCATTTTGGCAGATTGGAGGAGGAAAGTT